AACATGTTAATTTTACCCAACATGCAATATCCTCATGTTATTATTTTCTACTTCCTCGTCATATGTCTAACTGTCTCGAAGGAAATGGGGGCTTCATTAGCTTTCACGTTTTTAAGGCTGCTTATCCAGACAGAGATGTACGAATCTGACGTATTGGTTGTTAATTATGGGCCCAGATTGTGAATCGTTTTTTCCCAGGCATAGAATTTTGACACGTTTTTTTTGGGTCATATTTAAGTCCCTATACCCATACATGAAGATATAGGAGGGAAATAGCTAAATTATCTTTTTTTTACTATCAATACTTTATGTTCTCATACAAAGCTCAGTACTAAGCGTTATTTGCTGCAGGATGGCTGCTTTCATGGGTTGCCCAGGTTGTCCTTCTTCATCCTTGTGGACAACCAGATCCTGACGCTGTCGCCCGGCGCGTTCCTGGGAGTACAGCCGCGGTGGGTGGACGTAAGTGCCAATCTTATCACTACTGTAGCACACGGGACCCTGCAGGCGATCAAGTCCGTAGAATATGTCCGCGCGGTTGAAAACAAACTGCGATCTATCGGCGTGGAGATGTTCCACGGGCTTGAACGACTGCGATCCCTGAACCTGGAGGGTAACAGGATCTCCCACATTGCTGCGGGTGTGTTTTACTCAAACACGAAAATAGAGGTCCTAAATCTGGCGGGAAACAGGCTGACCTTCCTGTCTGGTGGTTGGTTCGAATCGGTATTTCCAGGCCATGTCAACATGCGTGGAAATGCGATTGCCGCCATGACGCTGGAAGGTCGGGAGCGGAAATTCATGGTTGTCTCACTGGAAAACCCGCCGCGCTGCACGTGTGCGAACGATTGGCTGTACGATCCCCAGGGGATGAGCCCGTTCAAGTTCAAGGGGCGTTACGCAAGGGTAATGCGGGTCCCCTCGACAGCAAGCTGCCCCGCCTCGTCCCTGATGCAGAATCCTCCCGATCCGGTCAATCCCAACGGGTTGCCCTGCCCGGTCCCGCTGGTCGAGGTTACGCATGTTGAGCGAAGCGCCGCGTACAGGTACGAAGCCACTGGTGACGTGTATTGGGAGCAATTGCCGACAGTGACCTTTGCCTTCCCTGACGGCTTGCATCACGCACTCGACATAACATACGACACAAACACGACCACACAGGACAGTCTCCCGACAGGCAACCTAACCGTGAGAGTGGTGACCGACCTAAAGGCTGAGGGCTGGGTGAAATGTAAGAGGCCAGAAATCCTGTTGGAAAACTCAGGAAACTACAGCCTGTGTTCTAACTACATGGGGAAGTCCAGCTTCACCCTTTGGCTTGAGACCGCCGAGCCCTTGTCCTTTGGGAACACCACTTGTACGGCTTCTTCAGAAACTGGCTCCCACACTGCCGTCTTCGCAGTGAGCGCGCGCGCACACTCGGACATGACAACACTACAAACCACCGTGCACACACTCATCAACACGACACCATTCTCAGCCAGCATCAGCACTACACCGATGTCCATCGGCATCAGCACTACACCGCTGGCTACTAGCACGAGCGATGATGCAAATCTAACGTGGTACATCATGTGGGCAGCTCTGGGCGGGTTGTCGGCTGCTGAGGTAGGGGTTTGGGTATGTGCATTGGCCAGTTGTATCAAGCAGAAGCTTAAGCGCAATGCCCCTGATGGTGCAGGTCCATTCCGCAATGGCAACCAGATCGCTGCCTGCTCCTTGTGGCCCCTTCCAGGTGGCAACTCGGAGGAGTCAGTGATCAGTCCGTACGCTGAAGGGCGTTTGGAGGATCACGACAGCTTGAATGATTCAGAGTCTGTCATCAGCCCTTACGCTGAGGGTGGTTTCAATGACCACCCTGACTTGCGCAGGGCCGAATCTTCGCAGTCAGAAATCGTCCCGTACGGCCGAGCGAACCTGTGTCCAGCGTACCGCCCGGCAAGCCGCCCCCGCGCGCACACACACCCCGTGCCGTCCCGCCCGTACAGCACCGAGCGCCCCCGTCAGAAGCCGAACAGGGCAGGGGCCATTCTGGCTGCCTATGGCCAAAATGGTCGCGACAAGTCCGACCAAAGTTGCTACAAGCACCCCTCCATTCTCCCCAACCCGGGCGCCACCAAGTCCTCTGCCTACCATCAGAATGCCAGCGCCGCCAAGCGTGCCCGCAAGGCACCTTGCTACAACTCCCCTGCCCTGGCCACTGACCTAAAGCGTACTCTGTCCCACACATATGACCAGCATGACCCTAGCGAGGCAGTCTGCAACTCCGCAGCGTCCCCCGTGGCCAATACCTACCAGCCCGCTGCCTCGCCTGGTAGTGAGACCGGTACTCAGTCCGCCATGTATGATGAAAACCATCCTAGCCAGGCCGCCACCGGTGGGGCAAACAGGTACGTCTGTCCCTCCCCTGCGGCCGGTGCTGGCGGGTCTCAGGCAGCTGCCTACTGTCAGAATGACCGTAGAGAGGCAGTAAACAACACCCCAGAAAACCCCGAGACAAACAGCTATGAACCGGCGTCCGCTGTCAGATTCAGTGAGTACACAAGGAAGTAATTGACACGAAATTCGTCCCGACATCTTTTATTGTGTATTGAAAATCTGGGCAATCATTCGCCCAAATTTGACAGTCTATAATTACCCCCCCCCCCTAAAATGTGTCACATTTCTGCAATCAGCTTTGACTAAAAGTTGCCAACAGAAATGCTATTCTTTTTCCTTGTGGCGAGAAACAAATTATGGAGAACTTATAGTGCACCGGTACCGTTATTTCTTATGGAGAAAAAAGCACCAACGTTCTGTAATGATATTTATGATACGAGTAACATAATAACTCAAGAAGTTGTGGCTGGATCTTGATGATATTTGGTATGTTGGTAGGTGTTTTAGTTTGAGATTTTGATAGGGACTAATTCATTAAGGGGTCATCATGACTTTTGGTCTTCAGATAGATGAAGTGATGATTCATATCATGTTAGTTGCCTATAATACAAAAAATAGGGAGCATAATTTGCATAACTGACGACGAAATTTATCAAATCCTATGAATGAGGTTCTAAATAGGTGATTTGGTGATTTTTCTTTGTTCATTCAAAAAACCATCCAATCGACCTGGAAAATGTTCAAGATTGTTAATGGTAGGGGCCAAAGTCATAGAAGTTGATGCCTTTTGGCCTCTCGAAATGATATCCCGTGTAAAGTAAAAAGAAAAACAAAAAAAGACGACAAGAAAACACATTTAAAATTGTAAAATCGGTATGAATGGTAGAAAATGTTTTATTCTTGTTTATGTTACAGACCTAAACGTCAGACAAAATTGCATACACGTACATGTACATACTACATGTTGGAATGTATGTTACCATCGTGTATGTGCTTGGGAATTTTTGGCACCTAAATTAAGATTTTTTTTACGTTGAACAAAATTGCACAGCCCTCTGAGGGACGCAAATATGGCCAGGCCATATTCTCCTTAGTTTAAGTTTGCCACTGGAATGGCTTTTCCCAGGATAGCATCCTGGCTGGTGCCCAGTCTATCGCAGTTGGGGATTTTCTTCGGGGCTGCTGAAGCTCTTCCCCGCCCGCCTGAGCTAGGTTCCCCGGTATGTTGGCACGACGGGAGTTTGGTTTGCCACCACCATCGTGGTGGGGCTAATTAACTCCCAACCTGCCAAACCCTATCACAGGCGTAACACTCCTACCGGGCGGTCTGTTGAGCTGGACGGGGGAAATTAATTTAGAGACCCGCAGACAGCCTGCCCCAACCACGATAGACTAGATACCAGGCTAAGCTGTAGAGAGTGTTACTAGCATGCTCCAATTGCTAATTTTAGCATGGAGGTAGAAAAAAGAGACCTCCATGATTCTAGCAACACTTTCCTTGAATAAATGTACAAACTCTCTTAGACAGAAATCTTGAAGGGGGAAAGCAGGGCATCTCGCCATTTTATGTATAAGTGGTATTTACAACAACTGTATGGATTATTCCAGTACTTTTGGCTATCAAAGAAAAACATACAATTTTTACCAGAAAATAGAGGATTGAATATCTTAAACTAAACATACAGTCACAGTTCTCCTTCCTGTTTATGACGATATGCTGTAACGGCGCAGACTATCAAACAAATATGGAATAATAACTAGCATATCAACAGGGTAATACTAAGAAAATATTAGATGTGCAAAAATAAAAACTGATGTAGAATTAATGTGATGTATTTCCCTACCCCCTGTGCGATGGTATAGTGCATACATGTTAGAGTGATATTTGTTGTGTTTCATATTAATTACTTTATCAGTAGGTTGAAATTGGGGTTGGGAATATGAAGATCAAGGTCGATTAAGAACATTCTAGCGGCTTTCTTCGATACTGCACATCTTATGTTGGAATGATATTGTATTGCTAAATGGTCACAATTATGATATGTTAATAATGACAAGTATCCTGTAAAGAGCATTTGTCAGCAGGATGAGTTATGTATATCTGTAAATATTTTGACATTCGTAAACTGATTAAGTTGGTCGTCACTGTGAATGAGGTTTTTCATCTTAAAGTAAAAATCTGTACGTGTAAACTGTAGTACATTGTCAGAGACAAGATTGAAAAAGAAATTTTTAGACCACATTGAAAGCTTAGTACCGTAGAAATTGTTTCTTAAATGGCCGAATTTTGATTCTGCTTCTTGTAAAGCCTCGGTCACGACCCGCCGTACGCGCAATTGCGTGCTGTCTACGTGCAAAAACGTGGGCAAATTTTGGGATCCGTGCGTGGTGAGTACCGCCTCCGTACGGAATCCTACGGATTTGGAAGCACGCGTACGCAGACACGCCGTAGCACTTGACGTGCATGTAAAACTTTCTCTGCGTGCGGGCTGCGGATTCACTCCCCGTACAAGCCAGTACGGGCGACGCGCGTGCCCCGTCCGTACTGGTACGTACCATACGTAAGCAGCACGTGTGAGTACGGCCTCCGTACGGTAAAGTGGCAATTGGACAGAGATCGTACGTTTCTAAGTACGTACAACTCACTTACCACTTGTGCAATGAACGATGCACGCAACCGCTCACGGCCAGACGTGGCTTGCAGACCACATACTTACACCTTGCGCAACCTTGCGAGTGACGTGCGTTGACGTACTAATCATGCCAGTCCTTCCCCACGTTTTCAGAAAAACGTCGCAGACGTGGCCTCCCAAAAAACGTACGGACAAAAAGCACGTACGACGGGTTGTGACCGAGGCTTAACACAAGTCAGTCATGAAGCTTTTCACATATTGTCCATACAAGAGGCAGAGCACACCAAATATCAATTTCATGTTCATATTGTAAACAAATAGTGCTGTGTAAGGAATATTTATTATGTATTTGACGGATTTTTAATGTAGTATTCCCCCAAAGTATGCCCAGGAGCAAAACCCTTTTCTAAAAAAGAGTTGATAACTGTTCGCTGTGATGTTGGTATTGTGGAGTACTGTCATATTAATGTAAAATGTATCAGTGTAAATGATTTTAAGTTGATGTATACAAATCAATATATATGCCTTGAAACAATTCGTAAATATGAACTGAATGCATGAGGTATTTGACAATGCTTGAATGATGGTGTCATCTCAACATTTGTGATGACGATCATAATACTAAAATACTTTATCATGTATGGTTTTATTGCGATAATCTTGGAGGTGTCGACACAATTATCTGAAATGATAAATCGTGTAAAACTGATATTGGCACCACCATAGATGTTATACAATAAGAGCCAGACATTGTTAAGGTTGGAGAGTTTTAATAAATTGTCTAGTAAGTGTTGTACCCCTCAGGTTCTGACTGTTCTATGGTGTTGTGGATTGTATCTGTGGATGTGTGACGAGTGGGTATGATTGCAGTAGCTGCGAATAATCTAATGAGCAAAATTGCCTCTACACTTGAAATAACAATAAACTCAAAAAGTAGATTTCTATTTAAAACACCAACAATAACAATTTTCCCCTCATTTAAATAAAAAATACATAAACAGAACAAGTTTGAGTACATTGTGTCATGAAGCATAAACTGAAAGAAAACAAATAGCGTTTATTGTTCTAATTTTCAATGCACAAATAAACGAAGATACGGTAGAAGAAACTATAGTATTTGGTAATGTCAAAACAGCTAGCGCCCCCCCCCATGTTGCGACGCTGAAAAAAGTTGAATAATTACAGTTTTAGCTAAGCAACAGACTAATCAAGTGTTGGGGGAAATTATAGAACCTTTGCAGATGTTTTTTTTTGTGTGGGATTGATTAATTTCTGACCACCTGTTGTAAACAAGGACGTTAAAGAAATCTGTGGTATGTCCGGACGTGTTTGGGGAGCTTTCATCTTCTGTTTCAAAGTAACGAAGGAAGTCTTTGAAATCAGTAGATTGGTTTTGTGAATGGTGACTTTTAGCTACACTATCAGGCGTATAAATTTTACATTTATGTGAAACCGATGGAAAACGGAAAATAATGAAATATCATATTGTAATATCATGTAGAGTAAAAATTGGAAAACCGCTATTGTCAAATTGTCAAAATTGTGAAATTATGTGGACACTCTGGAATTACGCAATTATCTGAAAACTGGATCGAAATGATTTTTGTTTGCGTCATTGCCCCAGATAGAGTGTCATAGTTAAAAGGACACTGAGCAAAAAGGGGAAGGACACATAAGATGTCCAAATGACAACGTGTAGCGTCCAGATGATCTGTTCAGTACTTCCATTTCCCGAAATTTCCCGAAAATTCGCATGGCTTTATCAGTAATCATAAAATCTCACGTTTTCCTTTATGATCGATCTTCGAATTCGCTGTACTGGCGTCAAAGGCGGTGTCCATAAATTGGGGCAGGTAAGGAATACTTACATGGCCTCAAATGAACAAAAAAAAAACACCCAACTTGTGTTCTGTCATGGTTGTATTTATGCATCATTATATTCCTCAGGGCAACACTGACTGCTTCTACATAACACCGCTGGGTAGCACTGCAATGAACAGATTGGGGTTCCAAACGTGTCAGGTATGCATTCAAAAGCGACTAGATCTGACAGGTTACATAGAAAATGGATTGGATTGAATATATAATCCTTCCAAAGGGAACAAACGGGCACTCTTCGTCACTAAGAGGATGACCAATCGGTGGAATCCCAATCTACCAACTACATTTTTCAACACTGTAATTGAAAACGCGATGTTTGATTTTTATTGGCCTTAACTCTTGTGTTAGAGCCACCATCTCATTTGTCCTTGTTGTGAACCAACTCAAAGTGCATAGTTGGAGGGATGAGGACGGTGTCAATGACTTGTAGGACGCCGTTGATTTTTGATATTTCAGTAAGAACGGCAGCATTGTTCACCATAATAGATTCTGAAAAAAAAAGTACAAATAAAAGATTTTTAAAATGCAAGAAAAGTTTAAAGCACGTAAAGCTGTACGGATTCTAACTTGTTTAGGTCGATGAAGGTTAGACATCCAGTTAACGAGATATATACACAAGGAAATGTTACTCAAGCAGGTACTGGATAGATTTTGGAAACTATTAGACGTTTCAAGTAGCATCCACTACTTTTCGACACAATGACTGATGAAGAAAAGTAGTGGACGTTGTTACTTGAAACGTCTGACAGTTTTAAAACCTATTCAGTTGCTTGAGTAACATTTCCTTGTGTAACCCTAGCTTAGCATAGCTTCTAGACTTACTATGCTTTAAAGTGTTTAAAATGAAAAATATGTATTCCAAGCAGAAGGTTACGTAATATTCTGCATTTCTACTTCGTAATGATCATAAGCTGCTTCTGAGTGTTAGAGTTATCTAGAATAACTCACCTCGAGACGTAGCTTTGATGGTGACATTCTTCCCTTCCATGGTCCTCAGCGTGTGTGAGTAGTACAAGCCGACCCGGTTGTAGACGTCAGAAAGGACGTGGTACGTCAGGACGTTCTTCAGCGCCGTCACGTTCTTCAGCAGACCGTCCAGAACTCCTGCCGGCAGCTTGGCAAAGGCCGCGTTGGTGGGAGCGAATATTGTGAAGTTTCCGTTACTCGCTGGAAAAGCATAAAAATATTTTTTTGATGAAATGTTATGAGAAAATATTTTGGAGGAAACAAAAAAATGTAGACCACAGGCACATTGAACAGTAATAATTTCGAGACAGGGCAAACAAGAATGTGTCCATCTGTAATAAGACTCGTCAACCTCCACCTAATCATGGCGAGGGATGATACCGACTTCCGATACCACCCGTGCCCATGAAGTCACGTTGTGCAGAACAAGTGAGATCCATCATGAAAACTGTCGTAGAGTCGGTCAAAAAATAAGTATTTTATGAGTTTTAGATCTACTTAGAAGCAATGTCCCAATGAAATAGGAGCTGGTCCATGTAATAATACCAGCGAATATTCTAGAATTCAACAGTGATACAACCAATAAAAACTGACCTGAAAGAGTTGGAACCAGACCAGCCTTAGAGACGGCGTTAGCCAGGGTAGACAGGTTGGTGTTGGAGGTAATCTCCGTCATGATTGTTCCGTTTATTAACGGGTACATGACAAGGTCGATGGTCTGAACAAACCCAGCAATAGCGTGACAGTCTGGGTTCACGACCCCAGCACCGTTAGCCGTTAAAGTCTGAAAACACAAGGAATCACAATAGTGATACACAAGAATAACAAAACACGAAATAAGCAAATATATAGCAAAGTTGATTCATTCCTCAAGTTAACCGACATCTCGCACACAGCAGTCGTCCCCCAGTAAGACATCTGACTGTTATGTAACTATAATGTGATTGTGCCCTAGCTAAGTGTGATATAATGGTTTCATATCCACACTTATCAGGCATTATCATCATTTGAAAAAAAAATGCCACTTTGGAAGCAGTACATATCAAGGAAGTGCACACGTTTCCAGACACTTTAAAAAGGTGACTTACAATTGCCATTGGAGATACGTCATAGATGTTGATCCGGATGTTCTGCCCTCCCATAGTTGGAATCAGCATGTCGTTGGTCCAGTCCACTATCGGTACCTTGTCAGTCACAATGTGCGCCTCCAAAACCTGTGCAGACCTCGAGTTATCAGTAACAACACATGCAATTTCACACAAATAGGAAGCAAATTTTTTAAAAAGGTTATCACCTTTGCATCGACGTACATAGAAAGGTGTATGATTTTATGCATGAGGCTGATCTGTAAGTCTAAACAGCTTTCTACCTCTTACTAGTAGGTCAGTTAATAATAGTCTAAGAGAACAACAATAGACGTACGCTGACATACGACAACACTGCCTCGATACATAAAAAGAATTGACCGAGCATATACTGTACGTAGATTTTAAGAAAGGTATATGATTTTATGCATTGAGCAGATCTGTAGGTCGAAACAGCTTTTTACCTCTTTCTAGTGGGTCAGTGAATAATAGTCTAAGAGAAAAACAATAGACGTGCGTACGCTGACATACGACAATTAACAAAACACTGGCCGATACACACGAAGGATTAACCGAACATATACTGGTACTTGAACTGTACTTTTAATTTTAGATACCTATAATGTATCTGTAGCTAGCTACCTCTTTTAACAGAGTTTTGTTGGATTGAAGTTTATTCATCACGTCCTTTGGAAGTAGTTCGAAGGCCCGGTCGTTCGGTGCAAACATCGTGAAGGGTCCTGTTGGATTAGTATTGATATGGTTAGGCATCATCAGCTCCACACCTTAGGCGTTGCCAAAAATGTACCATTTGGTTTGAAGTCTTATGAATGTGCTATGGACATTTACTACCACATATAAACTGCAAGGAAACGTACAGCCATATCAACTGACAGAAATATACAAAAGTTCATTCGTAACACACACGGAAACAGTGAACATTTATATTTGGTAGTTGTGAACAGAAAAAAATATTTTCCTACCTAGACCGCTGAGCTTGTCATACAGACCGGCCTGTTTCGTCAGTGAAATTAGAGTCGTCTCGTTTCCTATCTTCTCCAGTACGTCTATAATGGATAACGGCCATTGTGCGTTTGCTACGCAAGCTAACCACAGTACAGTTATAACGCTAACAAGCTTCATGTTTGGATTCTTCTGAACCTGCTCTATAAAACAGGACGTCTGATTCGGTTGTGCTATATTGAGTTCACAATTCAGTACATGGACTTTGACCGACCTACAAAACAATCTTAGGTTGACCTACATAGTCTGCCTAGTTGTGAATGCAATGCTGATGTAAATCCAATACATACATAAGGCTTTAATACAACAAATAATCGAACGTTCACCTGTTTATACGTAGTTACGTGTCACACGTGTGTAAAACAACACGTGCCCTTGTACGTTTGTAGAGAGAATGCTTTGAAATGACCTTGAAATATCATTGTTACCCTCTCCCTCTCCAAATGTTCAGTAGGCTTGCCACCTACTTCATTTGGATGTCGTAAACAACTTATAATGGCAAGTATCATTACAGTCATAAGCTTTCATAGAACCAAAGAAAGCACACAAGAGCACATTTTCTTCTCTTTAACATGATTTATTTTGAAAAGGTAGGATGAAATACCAAATCTGAACTATATACTATAGAAATACAATGTCATAGTTTATAAACTATTTTGCAGCACAATCCAAGAGGATTACTAATGTTACATTTTGTCATGGCGAATTTTGCTGTAATTAAGAGCAATACGTAGAATGTCAAGAAGATACATTGAATGATAATATAACAGCTGAAGTCGACATTTCAAACGTCCTACAATACGTCTGAATATCTAGTCATGACAGATACATCCGACTGCTACTGCCAGCTAACGGCAGAAGTAGTTACATCTTGTCTTCTGCTAGCTCGAAATGCTTGGGTGGAGGAATAAGGACGGTATCAATAAGCATCAGGACTCCGTTACTTTCTGCTAACTGTGCGATGATGGTGGCGTTATTCACCATGGCTGCTGCTGCAGGAAAGGGAATGAATTTGAACAAAAAATTGGGACCAAAGTAAAGAGAACCCATCAACCTCAAATTGAGTTTAAAAAAAGACAAGAAAGAAGCGACGTAAAAAAAAAGACAAGAAAGAAACGATGTAAAGTGGCGAAATCAAACAGAAAGAATGAATTAGAATAAAGTGCCCTTGAATAGTTGTATATAATTTGTAATAGTTACATATAATTTACATGCAATTTACAACCATTTGTTCCTACATACATCTATATTTATATGCTTAGTACGAAAATAGTTTGCAATCTTGTAAAACATTGGATGGAAAATGAATGAAATAGTGTATTAAAACCTAATTTGTTTACATACAGCGACAAATAATTACATTTAAATGTGGTATATTTTCACGCAAAAGCAGTTTATCAAAGGTAGTCAAAAGTGTGTATCGCCCCCCGTCGTTTTTTCAATGAACTCACCATCCTTTGAGTTCTTTATAGTTACGTTTCCTCCTTCCAGTGTCTTGAGCATGTCCCCGTTGCGCAGCCCGGGGAGATAGTACGCCCCCGGCAGGACGTGGTACGTCAGGACGTCAGTCAGCGCCGTCACGTTCTTCAGCAGACCGTCCAGAACTCCTGCCGGCAGCTTGGAGAACGCCTCGTTCGTAGGAGCGAACACAGTGAAAGGGCCGTCACCTAGAACAAGATTGATGGGCATATTTTACACTTTTGTTCACACAACTAGGCAAGGGCCTTAAAGTAAACCAGTACAATTTCAGGTTGGCAAAGCAAAAAAAAATGTTCTGGATGAGTTTCTTAGCACGATTTCATCATCATATCATATTTGAAGCATTTGAAATATCCCAAAACAAGCTACGTTATCAAACCGTCTTCTTTTCGTATAATTTTCACCCCACCAACTTTCTGCTGAATCCCGGCCAGTTATTGGTACATTGTATAAGTTTATTCTTGTAGTTCTCGTACCCTGAGTTTCATTAAAACATTAACGTTTTTTTGAAAGTTTTGAACTTTTGAAACTTGAATAAGACACAACAATAATGTTATCTACAATGTACTCCAAGACAATGTTTTAGCAGTTCGTAAATACAGAAAATTAAAGAAATAAAAAAACCTGACCTGAGAGAGTTGCGACCAGACCTGCCTTAGAGACGGCTGAGCCCAGGGTAGACAAGTGGAAATTCGCAGCGATTCCCTGTGCGATTGACGCTGTCGGCAAAGGCCACAAGACTTGGTCTATGACGTGTACGACGCCATTACTGGCAACGTTGTCAGCCTTCGTTACAACAGCGCCATCTGCCGTTATAATCTGAAATTGCAGGCGACCATGTTAGCTTTATATCTTTCAATTTTTAGCTTTCATTCCATAGCCTTTACCACATATCTCATAAAAGAAGTAGCGTTTAACATTACTATTTATACTATTATAACTTACAATTTAAAAACTGACCAGATACATGTATATCGGTAAGTATGTTTCGATGTACCTATTATAAGTAGTTTATTTGAAGTATATAACTCACTGATGGCTTGCTGGTATTGTAGATGTTGATTCGGATGTTGAGCCCAATCAGGGTTGGAACAAGCTGATTGTTTTTGAGTCCACTAGACATGGCCTTGCCAGAAGCTACATGGAACTCCAACACCTATAGTAATCAAAAGCGTATTAAATCAAACATCAAGGTCAAAGTCTTATAATGTATTTCAATAAATACAGACATTGATATAAAATTAATAGTAGATACACTTTAGCATTCTTTGAATTTTTTCTTAGATATTCCTAGAACCATCAGCGTATGGCACTTTAGCCTGGTACATTGTATAGACCGTATATAGCTTTATGGATATGGTGATCCCTCTTGGGGGCTAAGGCTGTATGAGCTCTCTTTCAACAGGCTTATCTAGGCACTCCGCATGAGTTTTACGTGGTTAAAGTTGTTTGGCGCGGGCGGGGGAGAGCTCCTACGTGTACAGCCCCTTTGAGAGCCCAATAGACGATAGACTGGCTGCCAGGCTAGGCACATGTGTGATAGGTTCTATATATATTGTAGATACCTGTGTCAACAGCAAATTGTCGGCTTCAAGTTTGGCCAGCAAGTCCCCAGGGAGGGCGGAAAAGGCATCGTCTGTCGGTGCGAACACCGTGAAGGGACCTTGAAGAGAAGGAAATATATTGGGTATTGTCGTGGTTGAGAAATAGTCTGATAACTGATAGATGTATACGTAACAGAAACAGATTTATAATGTTTTATAATTGCTGATTTATAATGTACATATCTCACTGTGCACATTTGGCATTTCCCTGGCCTGCGAAGAGATCATCTTGACCTACAATTCGGCCCCACTTCCTCTCAGTCTGCGGGTAGATCAATTTTACCTTCAATTTGACCTTTCTGTCATTCTGTGGTTAGACCATTGCCCCACCCCCCACCTCCTCAACACACATAAACACACACACACACATACATACAAACATACACGAACAGAGACACCCCCCTCCACACACTCACACACATGTGCATAACACACACACACACACACACACACACACACACACACACACACACACACACACACACACACACACACACACACACACACACACACACACACACACACACACACACACACACACCTACCTTTGCCCTCTAGTCGGGAATCCAGCTTCGCCTTCTGCACCAGTTCTATCAGCTTCCCCTCAGTTCCAAGCGTTTTCAGCACGTCTACAACGGTATTCTGTGCACTTACCACACAGACCAAATACAGCACAACCGTTACAAACTTCATCTTTTCAAGCTATGTAAAACTAGGAATTTCTTCAAATAAGGGACAATTTTAAGTCTCTATTTGATGAGCTTCTTAACTTGTTGACACTATTTTCAATTCCTGCTGATACTTTGACCAGACAGGCAAACAAAACCTTTGATTATAACGTAAGTGACTTTTGACCCGCTGACCTGGAGCAAAGTGCCCAATCTCAGTACAAATAGCCTGTAAACCATGTTACAGACCGAGTCTGTCTGTCATAATTAGCAGTTCAACCAATGAGAGAATGGCAAATATCATTGGCGGTATAACCAATGAATGAGAGGGTGGCTGCATGTTTGTCAGATATTTGCATTTCCGATATTTCATTTTAATTTGTATTTCAAATTTTTAAGGAGATGGCCAGGACCATGGGGTCGTTCTATTTAGGAGTTCCAGTACTTACCATACAGGGTTTTCACATGCCCCAATGTTGGATTACAGTGTGTCTATTGGACACGCCAGCATGCGGCTACTTATCAATTTAGCAGCCCCCCCC